TTTAGAGTCACCCCCCACACACACACACACACACAAAGGCCTGTTCTAGGGGTATCTTTCTTGAATATCAGATCCCACTTCCTCCCACCACCAAGTTGTTTCAGCCCCCGCACCCACCCCCACCCCCGCTCCGGGTACGGTGGAATCTCGGATTTGTGAAGCATCCCAGATGGCTGTCACCCCTCCATCTGCTACTGGGCACACAGGGACTCCAGAGCGGGCTGCTCTTGGCTTTGAGGGCAAAGCTTTTTTCCTGGAACTCAGCTTGACCGAATGTGGGGTCTATTTCAGTCTTTCCTCTTTTTCATGGCTTGCAGGACTAAACCTAGGCACACAGATGTCAGTAGAGACGGCTTTCTGGAGGCACCTGTCCTCACCATGCATCTGCCTTGATATTTGGGCCCTTGTCACCTCACGTTTGCCTCTCCGCAGGGAACAAGCCATTTGTGGTTCTGTCCAAGGTTCTCCTGAATTTGATTTCCATGTCAGGGACACCTGACATGTGGCATGCATCCTTACATCAACATTCTTTCTTATAAGGGTAGAAAGTCACAACGCTGGCTGGTGGTCACACTGAGAGGTGACCTTTGTGCCTTTTCATACCAATCCTGTTTTTGTCCAATGCTTATTTTCTGTGAATAAATCTGCTCAGGGTACTTCTCTTTGTTTTATTTCAATCCAGCAACATGAAATGGACTGTGGGGAGATTATAGAGAGCAAAAGCATTGCCTCTGCTGCCCTCTGATGGCTAAATTGCAATCTTGTCATCCCCCAGAAACAGCCGCTGGCCGGGGCGGGGTTGGCAGGACTCACTGTGACATGCGCAGGTCAGCTCGCCTGCCGGCACAGGTTTACACTGGTTTGGGTTTGGTTGGTTAGGTTAAATTTCCAAATCTCCAGTTAAACAATTAGGCATTTTTCCTTCTCCCCCTCAGAGAACTCTAAATGGCTGAGCAATTTCAAATCAGAGATATGGTCAAGAGTTCAGTTAGTATCTTGGGTCTGCCTAGAAAATGGATTACTAGACGTTGAAACAATCCTATTTGCCACACTTCACAGTTTGACACGTTTGTCCTCAGCGCTGCCAAAAGATGATGGGTATTGAGGTACAGGTGGTGCATTTCCAGACATATGCATATTGCTGGCTCCAAGGAGAAATATGACATACTTCTGTTGTAAGGATCATGCTACCAGGGAAAGTTGCATTCAAATGAATAAGTCACAGCAGTTGCCTGTTTTTTCTTATGAAATTATAAGTAACTATGTACCCCCTCAAAATAGTACCACACCCTCTGACTTTACTAAACAAGAGAACAAATCAGGTGGCATTTATGGGGGTGTCAGCAGCCAAATATATGATCCAGTTTGAGACACAGGAAATATTTTCTTTAATGACCCAATAGCTCCTCTTCCTGCAAAATATCCTGACCACGGCTGACCAAACAGGGTGGGCCCTACATTTGGGAGGATTTTTTTTTCTTTCCGTTTCAAACAATACAGAATATTGTTTATTATTATCATTATTAATGATTATTAGAGTAAGTCAGATTCGCCTTCCCATTGCTTCTCCCTGCCATGCCTTGAGATCTTTTTAAAGTGGTTAAGCAACCATATGTAATGCTGCCTACACAGAGCACTGCTTCTTAAGACAATGCCCAGTCCCCAGGCTCCCAGAAAATGCACTGCTCTCCCTTTCCGGCTTGGGTGCACTAAGCACACGCAGGGTGCTTGCTAAGAATAAAGAGAATATGCTGAGTCAGCGCTTAGCCATCTGTCTTCTCTCCTGCTTTCTAGAAGCCCTCTGCAATGCTCTCAACCCTTTCTTCCCCCGCTCACCATGGCTTCCCACCCGGACTTTTCTCTGCCTGTCTGCAAGCTGCCTCTGAACTTGACCCTTGTCCAAGTCTCTCCCCATTGTCTGAACTCCATTTTGCAGCTCTGGCTTCCAACTGGACAGTTTCTTCAGTCGACTCTGTCCTCCAAACCTTGAGGACCTGCCCCTTGTCCTCGGGGAGGCTTACTTCATGCAGGACCCTGCCTGGAAGGAGGCTGCCTCCTTTTCCTGTACCGCCTGCTCCTCGCTTGGGAAGTGAGAAGGTTGGACATGGTTGTTGGGTTTCACTCCAGAGCAGAGGGGTTTCCAGGGACCTCCAATGAGATCTCCCAACCACCGTTTGCACTCCGATCAGAGGTCCCCCTTTTATCAGTTTTTTAAACTGGGCTTCTAAGAAACGTTTCCTCTTGGGGGGGGGGGGAAATTGTGACTTAAAAGAAAAGTGTACCAAAAAAAAAAAAAGGACAAGATGATCTAACATCCTTTCCAAAGCTCTCAGATGCTTCAGAACACCCCTCCCCCACCTCCTGCCCCCTGACCGCTCCGTGGGTGGGCAGGCAGTAAGTAACACTTTATAGGCATTTTGCACTGGGCTCCAGCCATCCATTCTTCTAATGGGTTTTGGGCAGCTGTCCCAGGCCAGAGAAATCACATTAAAGCTGAGAAAAAAGCCAGGGAATCAGATTTCTTTTTAAATTAGGAGAAAAATGTGATCTGGGTTCCTGGATGTTGTTGAGATGCTATTAAAAGATGTCTTAAATAATCACTCTCTTAAGCTTCTCGTAGTTTTTGAAACTTCTTGGGCAGGTTTCTGCTTTGTTTTGATAGAAAGTTATTCTATCTAAATAATGGTATAACATTTGCCTACTCTGGTGTCAGGCTGAGGCACAGGGAGGGGAGGAAGCCAGTATTTACCAAGTACATACTGAGCTTCAGGGACTAGGTGTAGATTAACTGGGGGAATCCTCAACTCAACACCCTGTGTCTCCCTCCATTCTGTAGAGCGGTGGCTTTGAGAATTTAAAGTTGCGTGATCAGCGCGCTGGTAAGACAGGAACCCAGCACGCAAACCAGGTTTGAATGATGCCTGGGTTTGCAGTGTCCCACAGAGAACATGGTGTCTGTAAAGGAAAGCTTTACTGGGGACGCTTTCCTGGGGTCCAGAGACACCCTTTCATACATGGGGTATCATAGTTTATTTTCAAAATGGGGGAACTTGTCCAGGACAAATGACTAACTAGATGAGATGCTGCGACAGCAGGCATGCAATGGTACTGTCGTGGGCAAACCAGGATGCCCAGTCACCCTTTTCACCACATGGGCCAGACAAATGTCTATGAAAGCAAGGCTGCCACTAGGAGATTCAGAAGTAAGTGGCAGCATCAAGGTTTGAACCCAAGTCACTCTCTGAAACCCTTGTTCTCCCCACTACATCATATTCCCTCTTTTCAAGCCCAAGGCCGTGACCAAATTCTGATCGGCACTGAGGACGGAGCATGGAGACACACAAGTTCTAACACAAAAGTTTATTATCCTCAGCCGTTTCTGAGAAGGAACATATCCAAACTGCATTTTAGTTCTAAAACCAAATCAATCGCTTTGTTTTTTTCCCCCCAATCCCTCTACTTTTCTCCATCCTTCAATATGGTTGGAAATGATAATATACTTGTTGAAGCTTTGCTGACTTCCATGCTCTGAGCTACCAGGAAGCTGGTGCAGATCAGTCGTTACCAGCATAGGAGAGTCGCTTGTATTAAGCATGCAGTTCTATTTTCTGTATTCTCATGCTTTGACATCTGGGGCCTTACTGGCCCTGGAGGGACTGCCCCTCCCAGGACTAGCCAATTCCTCGAGAGAGTAAATGACAGGCCTTCTAGGCACCATTCATATGCAAATTAATCAGCCAGGAGCCCTCCCATCACCTCCTCTACTGGGCTCTCACGCTCAGGGCCACTCTCCTGCCCTAATCACCCCAGGGCAGGTCCCAGACACCTAGGGACAGCCCCGACACCCCAGAGCCTGCTGAAAAGGTTCCACGTAGACAGTTTTAAACAGGCTTACCCTGCTTCACTGATCCCTTCCCACAGAAACCACAATGATGACTCCTGCCCACATTTTCCCCTCCCTCCTCCTGCTTTTGACCCATGCCGGTGCTTCCCTGTGTGTCCTCCCCTCCCCCCACCCAAGGCATGGCATGCGCCCCCCCCCCACCTTGGGAACTGTGAGCAACAAACTATCTCTTCAATGGCAGATGTCTCCTGATCTGTTGGCCTCACCATACCTGAACAATAATAATACCTACATTCAAAGCAGAAGCCATCCCCTCTGAAAGGCATTCACCCTGTTTCCTCCTCCTTACAAACGGCCTTAGCGCATGGGAACAGCAGCAGTGGACAAAGGTTCACAGGTAGCACCCAGAACTCTGTTTTTACCAAGAACCACAAAGAGCTTGCGTTCTCCTCAGCGGTGGTCACACAGGGTAGCGAGAGGCACAGTTTGTTAAAGAGACACCCCAGCAAACTGTGATTGGGCCGTCTAGGCACGCTTCCCCCAAGAGCAGCAAAGCAACACCCTACACTAAGTTAGGAAAGCAACCTAGGTAGCTAATCGCAGCCCTTCCAGAGCCATTTGCTCCTGTAATCATCACCATGGAAGTCAGGGAGCTGCCTAAAGGACTATTTGGGGGAAAATATGCTAAAGATATGCAAACTGAGTTTACTGCACTCAATTGCAAAGTATATACTTCATATATACATATATACTTCATATACACACACACATATATATACATATCTTCATTCTAATAATGAAGATATTAAATGTAGAAAAATGGAACATTCATAGTTAAAAGAAACCCCAGTAATGCTGGTATTCTTTCGACCCGTGGCACTCCTGTTAGTAATTAATCTTGAAATGCCTTTGCAGGGTTCTTGTTTGTTTCAAAGTTAGGAAACAAATGTGTTTCCCTGGGAGAACCAAGTCCATAAATGTTTTATGCAAGTGAGAGAAATGAATTGAATTTGTCCCAAGAACATTTGTCACCCACAGTGAGGACAAGAAATCGGCTTTGCCCACATCAGCCAAACAGCGTTTGCCCGGAAAGTGTTTGGAAGCCCCGAGTTGAAGGATAAGATGCACTTGACTTTATTATTTTTTTTCTACTCACCCTTTAGCTAATGTTGCTATGCCAACGTCAGTTAACTTCATTCCTACACCTATAGGAAGAGAGAGCAAAGATGGAATTTGTGTTACACGGGACTGCTCAGAAAGAACGGACGTCCTGTTCACGGGGTGGGAGGTCTTGACTGCGCGTCATCATTTCCCTTCCTGCATAAACACACACTTTCCTCCTCGTTTCCATGAGCGGAGATTTCTGTCGAGGCTGACAGCCTTTCAGACATGTGTCCAGCTTTATGGGAGGGTCATGGGTAAGGCGGGCCTCTGACGCAGCAGTTCAGGGGAGTCCTGGCTCTCCAGGGTGGTGGCTAAGGGCACTTCCTCCAACTAAATCTCATCACTGCAACCTAGTGATGGGCCTTTGATGGCAGGGCACGGGGTCCACATCGCCACCCCACCAGTCTGCCCACACCTGCCAGGGCCAGGCCTGTCTTGCCTGCTCCTCTCTTGCCTCTGACTCTTGTCCTACTTGGGCCTGGCAGGGATGGCTGTCTTCCCCGTGACCCCCAGGTGATCTCACTGAGGGGCCTGGCGGCACAGAAACCAGTCTGGGCTGTGAACAAAGGAACGAACATCCCGCTTAAGCCAACCCTACGGTTTGACCTGATGGCAACTTAGTTCCAGGGGTCCCCGCTCCTGTGAATCTTGTTTTCTGAGGCATAGGAAAGGGACGCTAAAGGGTTAATGCTCTGATTCCGTAGCGTCTGCCTGAAGCAGAGCAAAAAATACAGGCCAGGCTGCTGTTCATGCTGGTTCGTCAGCCAGAAGCAAGGAGCCCTGCTTTTCTGCAGTGCACCTGTGAGCTGAATTCGACACGGCACTTTGGGTGAGCCAGCGAGCATTTTAAAAGCTTCTTTCACAGCTGGCAATGAATCCATCTCATTCTTTCAAAGCTGCTAACAACGAGAACATATGTAGAAATGCTTCACATAGCTTTTATTATAGGGACTGAGCTTTTTGAAAAAAAAAAAGAAAAAAAAATTGCAAAAAGCCCTCTTTGGACATCTCGTTTCGTGGAAAGTTGTGTTTAAAAATCACAGCTCTAAGCTGCATGGAAGTCCAATTTCAAAAGTCATTTGGCACACGGTCTGTGAACTTGGGAATTGCTTTTTATTGCTTCTCACAATTACCAGCTGTCACTTACAGTGTAGAAAAATAGAATATAATTTTTAAAAGGAAATGTCTGTCTCTCAGTGTAATAACTTGCCAGCAATTCAACCAAGGTTATTAAAGATCTCTATAGGGTAATAATTTAAATCCTAGTGTACAGCTATTAGACTGAGTTGGGGATAATAGTCATCTACAGGTTGTTTCTCAATTAGCAATAATTGCGCCTCGGATAAACCTCATTGGCTACAATACTGCCACTGCGCAAAGCTTACAGGTTGTTTCTGATGGCAGAAAGGAAGTAGGCAGCATTATGGGCTCGTTCTCCAGGATTTGAGTGCTTGGGTCTTTGGGGTGACAGCCTCTCAGGAACCCTAGGGGTCTCACCAGTGTGCAGACCTAGGGCCAAATCCAAGCCTCGGGTTTCACCCCTCAAACCTGCGAGCCTGCCACAATCCAGTCAATAAGCAAATGCAACCAGGGAGAGGATAACTTTTAAGAACCTGAGAAGGTAATGGTTAAGTTTGGATTTGTTTCTTCTATTTAATCCTAATTCCGGTGTCTTGGTAGCATTATAAAATATGGATATTGTCGAGAGAATGGATGTGCTATATATTGTGCCACAATGATGATGACAATAAAAAGGTTTTTCCCAGCAGCAGCAGAGAGAGTAAATAGACACTGTTATGGGCCGGCGGAGTGGCTCAGTTGGTTAAGAGCTCACTCAAGAGTGCGAGCTCTGAGCTCTGAGCAACAGCGGTTCGAGTCCGGCCCGAGCTGAGCAGCC